AGAAGCAATGTGACGTGTTTTGTGTATTGTTCCCACAAGTAACAAAATAACATCAAATTTCGTATAATTTGATAACTGAACTAGAAATAAAATCTCTATGTAGCTTATAAAAAGGGACGTGAAAGTGAATTTTGATTCTTCTATGTGAGTGTTCTGTTATTCTGCATTTCGATTATTTGTATTTTGTCTCTAAGTGAGGGGGGGGGGGGGTGTTACTGATAATCAAGTTATACATGTACTATAATGAGTACCAATAAAAAATTATATCAAGAATTTGATTTAAAACTAAATACATCCCTTTCCAATTTCCTTTGTCTCCCCACTCGACTGTGACCGTTGATCGATCTTTTACTGATCGATATCAATGCAAGTGTCTGCCGTTTCATGCTGCATTGCTTTGAAGACGACATGCGCATATTTTCATAGCTGACGTGGATAAACTCTGTTTGTAAATCATACACACAATATTATATCCTTATTTTTATAACTTTTAGTTTTAGGGAATTATGCCCGTTAGAGTGTATTACAGGCTTCTGAATCCCTTCCCGAGAATTCGTGTGCATTTCCTGTCGAATTCACTACTTATAATTTTCGATTTTGTTAATCAAATAATGAGTATATACATGAAAAGTACTGTGTTTGTCTATAAAATTAAATTGTTAGCATTGGCTATATAAAATATTTTGTTCATCGAAAAATGGATCTAAACAAATCGCACACCTTTTTTTTAAGCTTTCGGAGATTCGCGGTTTTTATTTGAAACAATTTTTTTTCAAGGTCTGTAACGCAAGTTATGGTAAGGCCATTCCAAGTTTTTTTTTTTTTTTTTTTTTGGTTGTTTTGTTGTTGTTGTTGTTTTTTTTTTTTTTTTCTATGAGCAGTGTACGCGGACGAATTGGTTTTGAGGTTATGAAATTAAAAACAAACACAAATTAAAATTAATAAATACAAAGCTTTGAAACGCAAACACAGAGTTAACTCAAATTAAAATCAACAAATACGAATCTCCGAAATGCATTTCACTCTTTTGGGATTGACATCTCTCTTTTTAAGTGGTGTAACATTTTTTTTTTCAATAAACTATAGTAATTTAACTAAGTTTTATGGCGATGGCGAGGAGAGGTCTCAAATGATAATAAGAAATTCTAGAACTGTTCTGAAAATTCTGCGTTTTCCCCCTTTGGTTTGTGTGTTTTCTCGGATAGGAAGATAGGTTTTCGAATTTAGGATAAACGCTAAACAAAGAAAAAACTTGGAATGGCCTCATCAATCAGGACTCTTATAATCGGTCTCCTCTTCTGGTTTGAACATAGAAAGTGATTGTGTGTAAGTATATTGGGGATTATTCCTGGTTAGTGTATTTTACATGAACCATGCAGTAAAGCGGATCCACTGGAATGAATAAATAGCGATCCATAAAAGAAATCCTAACATAAAAAAAAACATTTTAACGCAGTTTAAGACACCTCTTAACCCCGTAATAGTGATCGAGTAATTTATACGTTTATCCAAAAAAAAAAAAAAAAAAGAAAGAAAGAAAGAAAGAAAGAAAATACGAAAATAACAGCACTGCCATTTGTTGGAATGGAAAAGGGAAGTGGTGTTGATGGCTTTTTCATTGCCAAAAATCCAATTTTGACAACTTAAAATGGAATGTTTCAATTTTCTTTTTAATATTGATTCGTGTATTTTTAAAAATTTTAATGTAACTACATAGACAATGCGGAAAATGATCGAAGAAATCATTAGGACATTTTTACATAAAAAATAATAAATTTAATACGAGCACAATTTTAAAAGAAGTACTACCTTGTCTCGTCTGTATGGATGAATCAAGCTTCATTACTTGTCTGATGAAATCGATTGTAATAAAATTATATTTTCCTTTCAATTATTATACTCCTTCCAGCTATCAAACATACATTACGATGAATTGAAATAAAAGTTCAAAATTGTTTTCTGGAACATAAGGCAGGTTAAAGTAAATAGTTTCCGGTTCAGAGAATTTACAGATTTCTTTTAACGTAACGTTAAAATCAATAACGCCGTGATGACGTTATCACGTCAAAATTTGTAATTTATAAAGAAAACTCCCCATTCTTCGAGAACTCTGACGGAAAAACGGTTTATGATAATAAAAAAAAAAAAAAATAAAATGATTTCGAAAGGACACATCGTAGACATGTTTGTAAAAAACTGAAATCAAATTTGGAGACAGGGCCGCTCTGTTATACGTAACGTACCCAGTTCTTTATTCCTTATAATTTAATTTCCCATCATTAAAGTATAGCAAATAAGACAATTTCTCCTTCAAAAATGCTTTAAAATTGTACAAGTTTTAAAAGTAACGTCAAGCGGATTGATACTTTTTTGACGTAATTCATTGTGACGTAGGCAACACAGGCTATACGATGTAGACTAATTTTTTATCCAATTAAATTACGCGTTACAACAAAAATTAAATTATTTACAGATAATTCGTAAATTGGTTTAATTTGGTGTAATATAAACCAATGAACTAAATTTATTGTAAAAATCGTTTCTTGCAAACCGTGTAGCGTTTCGTGTAAACCGTGCAGCGTTTCGTGTAAGCTCCAAAGCGTTTCGTGCAAACCGTGTAGCGAGCGTACGAGAAGCGTGTGAGAAACGTGCGACTTTCGTGTAAGAACCGTGTGAGAAACGTGCGACTTTCGTGCAAGAATCGTGTGAGAAACGTGTAGGATTCATTCGGAAGTCCTTTAAATTTATTTTTAATATGACTATTGTTGGATTAACATGTCATTCTGTGTTGTTTGTAATTAATATTATTCGGATATATCATACCGGTGGTATTTTAAGAGTGAAAAAAAAAAATACGGAAACAACAAAATAAAATTATTCGGTAGTGTATTACATATTTGTTTGATTTTCTTAAAAATTTAATAGAAAATCCAGATCGAGGCTAAAGCGTGCGAGAATCGTGTACAAAGCGTGTGAGAAACGTGTACAAAGCGTTTCGTGCAGGCTTTCGTGTAAACCGTGCAGCCTTTCGTCCAAAGCGTTTCGTGCAAACCGTGTAGCGTTTCGTGCAAACCGTGTAGCGTTTCGTGTAAACCGTGCAGCGTTTCGTGCAAACCGTGTAGCGAGCGTGTACCGTTCGTGCAGCGTGCGTGTGGGATAGTAGCACGTTTCAGGGTCTGTACATGTGATAAATTATTATTTAGTGTAAAGGGTATTTCCTTGTATAATTTTTCTTTGATTGTTTGTTCTCTGATTTGATTGTTTTAATTCTGTTAACAATTCAGAAATAAGAATCGCATAAGAATTTTATGTGTGTATGTAAATCATATTTCTCAATTCTTACCAGAATTACAGCCATCAAATCAAATTGCAACAAGGATTGTTACAAACGTAGACTGCATTTAGATTAATTATTCTTTTTTTTTTTTTTTTTTTTTTGTTTAGACAAACAATGTTGTCATGGTTACTAAAATAGAACTTCCGCGAAAGTCGTTCAAAACATTGGGCACAGTATCGTAGAGGCTGTTTTTTTCCCTTACCTTGCCGTAAAAAAAATCGACGTTGCAAACTTGAAATTCCTTTTTTTTTTCAGTGCACGTTTTATTCCATTCTATAATTACAGGTTCAATAAGATGTTTAAAGTTCTATCATGGTTAGTATATGGTCGACACATCTGAATATGTAGTATTACCTTGTATGAACGAAAATACATTGTATTATGCATATCTTCACCCTCATAGAGAAAAACCAAAGTCAAAATAATTTTGAAATAAATAGATGTCTTTTTGTGCTGATGGCTTGAAACTTGCATAGGCGTTAAACACGCATGTGCCAAATTTTCTTTTTTACAGTACTTAAGTAAACATCTAACCTTAGGGGGAAAATAGAAATAAAATGGTCAAGTAACTAGAGATACGCTAGTATCATGAGAAAATAAATGAAAATGATAAAAAGAAAATCGTGCGATGGAAGCCTTTGAAAATGAAAACTATGTTAAAGTACAACAATTATTAAATATGTGTAAACAAATCTACCTTTCGCAGTTGCAGAAGCAAACGTTAATCATTTAAGAGAAAAATCTTTTGGAATATAAATACTTTGAATGTTGTTGCAGATTGAATAATCATACTGTTGCAATAGAAATAGTATTTTCAAATGTCAGACAAGTTCTACCTGTGCTCATTGATTCAGTGGCATAATTACGATTTAAATTGTTTTACTACAATATTGCATATTTTTTCATGTTCATTTAATTATCAAAGATTTCAAAAGTTTGTAAAATAAGTATACACTAACTTTTTAGATTTAAGAAAAGGTTTGAACTGAATGAAATGGACCCGACAACAAAACCAACTGAATCATTTAACCAGTCATTTTTTGTGTATCAGAACGCATATTTTATCAAAAAAAATTCTTGTAAATCGTACTTTACTCCTGGCTCTCTGTCTATCTGTCTTCTAGTTTATCGGGTGAATCAATATCTTCCAATTTTGTTGTCTGCATCATTGCATCGATGACGTTCCTTTCCCTCTTTAATGTAAATCATATACGACACCAATTTTGATGAACCACATGCGGATTTCGACAAATTATGTCTCTTCATTGATGCTCATGCCGAAACATTGGAAACCCCGAAATATTTAATTAAAAAAAATCAAAGAGGTGTGAAAAGGGGGTGCCAAAGACTGGAGTCTACATCGAAGGATCAGAGCTATGCATAAGGGAGATAGTGGGCACGAGTTACACTTAAGAATAATATGCATTATTGTACTGTCTTTAAGACATTTTGCTAAAATACTTTTAACATAGATTTCTTGGATGGGGATGGGGGTGACACAGAAAACAATTTTGCATCAATGCAACCTTCTAAGAACAAGAGAGAAAAAGTCAAATATTTTATTAATACTTGAAAAAACTAAGGAAATCGTGCAAGTTTCAATAAAAATGGTATTTTAATCTTAACACAAATGAAAACGTGCAACAGAAAAACCATTTTCTTTCTAGAAATCACAGTCATTTGATTTTAACGTTTCCCCAAGTCTAGATCTAAACGCTATTTCTTCCTCCGCTTCTTCATCCGGGTATTCCAGGTAGGATTGACTCTCAATTAGGTCCATCAGAAATAGAGGAACATTTTTCATGGCGTTCTTTTCCAAGATTATTAGAAACAAAACATTTCTACCCTTTCGAGAATAAATGGCTTCCATTCTCGCCATATTTAACTCAAACATGCACCAATAGGAATCTAGAAAGTGTGACGTCATAATGCAAACAGTTCTTCTGCTACAGTGAACAGCATTTGTAATATTGTCCATTATTTCTGTACCGGGAATAAAATCTCTATGATGAATACACAATCGTAAGTCATATTCATTCTCTAGTTTACGTGTGATATTAAAGACAAAACTGCTGTCTTTATCTGCATAGGAAATAAAAGCATCAAAGCGATATGGGCTTTTCCTGATGATGTCATTATCAAAGACCTGACCATGATATTTCTCTTTTGCGACGTAATACATGTATCTGAGCTTCCATCTATATCTAAACACGATGCGACTCACTGTTGTTGTTAATGCAACAATTATCAATGTCGTCACCAATACTGTGATAAGTGTATACGAAGAACACTTTTTCTCCATTTTCTGAAGTAAATTTACAATTTCCTTCAATGGATATTCTTTAATACTTTCAAATTCACATGTGTAATTCTGCAACATAAAAACATTCAAAGCCTGTGAGTTATGAATCCAGTTGACAAAATCCAGATTTTCACAAGAGCACTTGAGTGGGTTACCCAACAAATTAACAACAACTTCTTTCTCTTTTGCTATGGTATTCAATGTTTTCCTTGTTGAAGATCCTAGATGAGTTAACTGATTGAAAGATAGGTCTAATAGTGATAGATTTTTCATGTGGTTTATCTGAACTGTAAATTCATTCAGAGAATTATGACTAAGGTTTAAATATACCAACATGTCGTTCCTTTGGAAAACGTCGGCTGAAAGCCTATGTATTCTGTTGTAAGATAAATCTAGCGATAACAGTCGAATTTGATTTAGAAGGAATTCCCCCTCTGTGTCTTTCTCAAATACTTGTCCGAGAGCATTGTTAGAAAGATTTAAAAATTCAATACCAGTAAAGTTTTTGAAAAATGATTTTGAAATGTAACCACAAAAGTTACCTGAAAAATCAATATATCGAACATTTTCAATGCCTGTAATAGGTCCAATTGCCTCATACATGATATTTCTTTGAGCATACACGTGTGTTAATTTGTTGACAGGTCCTATGGGTAGTTTGGGTACGGACATTTTATACAAATTATCATGATAATAAATTTGTCGAAGATTAGGGGGCAGGTAGATTGTATAATTTTTAGCTTTTGTGAGATCGTTAAAAAAATCAGACATGGATCCGCCAAAAGATTTTTCATTGTTAATATCATTGTTATTCTCATTTTTTCTTGATACAGAAGAGTTAAAAACAACTCCTTGAAATCTTCTTGTGTCGTTGCATTTTTCGAAAAAGTCACCAGTCATCCCCATTTGATGAAATGAGGACTGAAAACTTACATTCAGTATCTCCAAACTTTGTAGAACAGCAAATTCCATGATATAAAGTCCAAAGCTTAGCACGTTATCTGCCAAATTTAGAACACGAAGTGATTTTGGAAGTGAAACTAAAACACCTATCTCCAAACTATTTATTCTGTTTGATGCTAAGTTCAATTCCTGTAGAAGAGTGTTTTTTAAAAATACAATGTGAGATACTTTAAGAATCTGACTGACTCCGTAGGTGCACTGAAGTTTTTCAAAATTTAACGTTTTTATTTGTGAGTGTTTCAGATCAAATGATATATTAGAAATCGCTTCAATAGTAAGCATATTATTGTTTGAAATTTCAAGATGTTCAAGATTCGAAATAGTTTGAAATGTACCAATTTCAATATTGACAAGTTTGTTCCTAGAGACACTTAGATTTCGGAGTTGTTGATATTTTTCCACAGAGGAATCATCTAGTGAATGTAAATTGTTATGAGACAGATCTAGGTACATTACGTTTTGTGGAAGGTTTTGGGGTATGTTTTGAAAGTTGTTCTTTGCAAAGTTGATGCCAACGACATTGTTTGGAAAATCTGGTGCCTTATTCAGATCAAGACCTGCACAATCAGCAAAAACGTTTCCCCCTGATGATGTACAATGGCAACGGTTACCGCAAGGATACCCATACCGAGTTCCTGCCTCCATAAGGGAAAAAATCTGGATGAAATTCAGAACTCTGTATAATATCGTCATACCTGAAAAAAAAACAAATTAGAAACATACTTTGTAACGGTCTGAGATTTTGGAGTAATCAGTAAAGGTTAGGGGTCTATTACTTTCAAAAGAAATTTATTAAGGACAGATGATTCGTACAGTATTTTGTGCACATGAGATGGATTAGGTTGGTCGTCTGATTTCTGTCTAACATAAATATCTTTTTTTATATTAAGTTTATTGCGATATTAAGTAAACCCGAACTGTTTTACATTCAGTGTGAAAAAATGGAAATAAACATACAATAGAACTAAGAGTCATCTACCCACTGTTTGAGCATTAAAGTGTGTGAAGAAAAAGTTGTCGGTCAAACTTCCGTTCTGTGCACTTTTTTGTTAGTCGGACAAACGCATTTATTCTAAATGATAGTATGTTAAGTAAGGAAATATATTCTATTTCAACTGGTGTACCAACACTGCAGTAAAAATTCATTTTCAGAATGACAAAGAAACATGTGATTTACAGAGTCTGATTAATAGACTGGAAGAGTATAGTAAATGAAATGGCTTCTCTGAGTAATAAGCAACGAGAGAGAGAGAGAGAGAGAGAGAGACGGGCAAACATAACAACATAAATTTTGGATATATATTTTTCTACTTCAAAAATAATTTTTAATGCCTTATAGATTCGATTTTCTTCACTGTCTTCACTTTTCAATTACTTTTATCATTTAAAAAAAAGTGAAGCGGCGATATTCATGATGTTATTATAATAAGGAAGATTGGTAACAAAATCAATACATGTATAACAAGATGTGTTTGTGAAACTGTAATGAGTTCTTTTGGATTTTGTAGAGTTGAGGAGGAAAACAATATCAATCAGAATAAACAAATAAATTTATTAACACAAAATAAATAAAATAGAAAGCAAATAAATTCTATGTCACTCACTCACTCTCACATACAGGCTCACACACAGGAAAGAAACAAATGTAATAGTAAACTGTTAACTCATTTTTCACCAATTCCGGTACTTTACATTAATTCAATATTAACTTCTACAATTCTGATTCAGTAAGTATCAGATATTATATCAAATGAAAAATTCACCAAAATTGACTTAAATAATATTCCGAAAAAGCTCAAATAAATTTTAGTTAATAATTATATATACTTCAAAAAATAATTTCCTTTTCTTAAACGGCTGAAAGTTACTCAATAGTTACTATATCACAACTGCTTATAAATGTTCACCGGAAGTCACACCACACGTGCATCCGCCATTAGCACTCATCTAGGAACGTCTAAGTCCTGTACCGTTCTCTCGTCACCACGTGGTAGTTGCTTTAACCGTAGCCCCGGTTCAATCGCCTCCCACTGCGGTTATCCTACCAACATCGGTTCTTGTTCAGCATCGACGATTGAACATGACACGACTGGCCCTCCATACAACGCTCCCCACTGACCTCAAACGCTTATAACAGTCGTCAACTGACCCTCAGCCCGTCTTCTATGTGCACAATATTCTCTCAGCACCTTACGCACTGAAATGAATTTACGTTTACAAAAACCTAACCTATATTACAACTGAAAACCGGAAATTATAACAATAATCCAACTATTTACATTATTCGAACACTCTTACCGGCTAGAACTGCATACACACGCTGCAATAGTCCGCCTAACAAGTTATATGGCTACCCGTTAAATTCGGTGCTATATCTCACCGAAATATATTCGCCACTTGTATAATCTTGCAGGGGATAAAGCAAACGTGGCACACCTCCGGCTGGTCACGCTACGTATACCGGACACCAAACTAGATCTGACCACTCCGACAAAACCGGTCCCTTTATATACTCGTAACAAAACAACCTCAATAGTAAGGAAACCCGTTAAAACCAAAATTAAAACAGTATATACAAAAAAAAATCAACTTCGTCACAGAAACACTGATGCCCCCGTATGGCAGCTTATGGCGAAGGTTAAAGTTTCTCAAATGCAAGTCAAAATCCAGGCCAAAAGATAAAAAATGTTGATACCCAAAGAAAGGTCTTGTCTATATAGGAATATACCTGTGAAATTTGAAAGACCTAGCTGCAACTGTTCAAAAGTTATGGCGTTGGTTAAAGTTTTTTAAAATAAAAGTCAAATGTCAAGGTCAAGTTCAAAGTGGTTTGTATCCAAAGGAAGGTCTTGTCACAAGGATTACATATGTGAAGTTTTGAAAGCCCTAGCACCAACCATTCAAAACTTATAGTTTAAGAAGTATTTTATTCATGATATACATAAATGTATATACAATGAATATGGATTGAACAGCAGGTAAAAATGGCCTATATAAGTTCTCTCCATTAAAGATCAAGGTACAAATTATGAAATGTTACAATAATATATATCATAACTTTTACAAAGACATGTATTTTAAACTAATTTTTAAGGAGGATACAATGTACAAAATTGAAAAAAGAGGGGAATTGAACAATAAAGTGGAATAATGAAAGGAAAGAGAGAGAGAGAGAAAAGAAAGAGGGTGGGGATAACGGAAAAGGGGAAGAGGCTCAGAGCCATATATATATATATATATATGTACTTTCAGTGTACATGCTGCACATTAATGCTTATTACATTTTCACATTCTAAAATCTTTTAGTATTTTTTTATAAAATTATGAACTTGATCAAATAATAACAAATTTTCTTTAAGAGATAGACAATCATAACCAGACAATACAATATTGTTATCTCTTGGTATGTCATGATCAATCATATATGTATTCAAAGAGTTCCTGGCAAGATCATAACATGGGCATTGAAAGAAGAAGTTATTACCAAGGTTAAAGTTTTTAGAAAGTAGGTCAAACTCCTATGTCAAGGTCAAAGGGTCAAAGTGGTTGGTATCCAAAGGAAGGTCTTGTCACACGGATTACATATGTGAAGAATGAAAGCCCTAGCACCAACCATTCAAAAGTTATGGCCAAAGATAAAGTTTTTCAAAAGTAGGTCAAACTCCTATGTCAAGGTCAAAGGGTCAAAGTGGTTGGTATCCAAAGGAAAATCTTGTCACAAGGATTACATATGTGAAGAATGAAAGCCCTAGCACCAATCATTCAAAAGTTATGGCCAAGGTTAAAGTTTTTCAAAAGAAGGTCAAACTCCTAGGTCAAGGTCAAAGGGTCAAAGTAATTGATATCCAGAGGAAGGTCTTGTCACAAAGAATACACGTGTGAAGTTTGAAACCCCAAGCACCAACTGTTCAAAAGTTATGGCCAAGGTTAAAGTTTTTCAAAAGTAGGTCAAACTCCAAGGTCAAGGTCAAAAGGTCAAAGTTGTTGGTATCCAAAGGAAGGCCTTGTCACAAAGAATACACATGTGAAGTTTGAAATCCCAAGCACCAACTGTTCAGAAGTTATGGCCAAGGTTAAAGTCTCATAAAATTTTGCAAAAGTGGGTAAAACTCCAAGGTCAAGGTCAAAAGGTTAAATATGATGGTACCCAAAGAAAGGTCTTGTCACAAAGACACATGTGAAATATGAAAGTCATAGCTCCAACCAATCAAAAGTTATGGGCAAGGTTAAAGTTGACAACAGACAGACAGACAAACAGACAAACAGATAAACAGATAAACAGACAGACAGGACAAAAACAATATACCCCCGGGATCTTTCGATCCCGGGGCATAAAAACGAAGCATAATGAACCTCCAAGTACAGAAAGTAATTTTAATACTTCAAGGTGAGGAGTGATACGCCGACCTAAACTCCGAATTTCTGCTTACATGCATGAGCTAGCAACTCTTGATTGGTTAAGAATATTTAAATACAGCTGATATTGGGAAAAAAGAAAAACAAAATAATTATTAAACAATGTTAGATTATTCCAAATTAACACTTTAAAAGTAAGTCATAAAAGATTGGAACAGTCGATATGCTTCAATTTCATTACAATCATGCATCTTGATATGAATTATGACATATATATATATATATATATATATATATATATATATATAGAAAGCACAAATAAAATTCACTTTTTATAAGGATACCACTTCCGCCCCAGCTCGGGGTTGAACTCTCGACCTACGGAATCTGTCTCCTAGCAGTACAGGAACAGCGCACTAGACCGCTCGGCTATCTAGGCAAGTCAAAAAACTTGCTTTCGATGCCGATGGAATTCTCGCGGCGCTGCCCTACAATACACTGTCATTGAGAATGAAAGTGAGATACAGTTATTTGGACATTAGTTTTATTAGAGGATTGTTTCCAATACACGTTGTAATGAAATTAATTTTTATTTATAAAGCACATTGTACTACAACTCTTAAACTAACATAATTGTCCTAAGTGAAGAAATATTAATATAGAAAGCACAAAGAAATTCACTTTTTATAAGGATACTCATATATATATATAGAGAGAGAGATAGAGAGAGAGAGAGAGACTCCTGAAACTTGCTACTACCCAAAAAAAGGTGTGTCTTTCGTGCGCTTTTCGTTTCGTGGAAAGCGTGAAGCGTTCGTGTAAACCGTGCAGCGTTTCGTGTAAGCTTTAAAGCGTTTCGTGTAAGCTTTAAAGCGTTTCGTGCAAACCAAGTAGCGAGCGTGCGAGAAGCGTGTGAGAAATGTGCGACTTTCGTGCAAGAATCGTGTAGGTTTCATTCGGAAGTCATTTATTTCAAATATGGCTATTGATGGATCAAGATGTAATACGTTGTTGTTTGTAACAAATATTATTCGGATATATTATACCGGTGGTATTTTAAGAGTGAAAAAATACGGAGGCAACAAAATAAAATCACGCGGTAATGTATTACTACGGAAGCCGGTAGGTGCCAGGTAAAAAAATATTTTATCTGGCGGCCGCCAAATAATTAACTGGCGGCCGCCAGATAAATAACTGGCTGCCGCCAAAAACTTACCTGGCGGCCGCCAGATAAAAAGATCTGGCGGCTGCCAGATAAGTAATCTAGCGGCCGCCAAATAATTATCTGG